CATCCAAAAAATAATAATGTAGGATAATTTTATCGTCTGAGAACTCTGTGACCCAAAATTACTGTCCATTGAAACAATCCCCTTTTCCTTTTCTTCCATATGTTCAGAATAATGAGATTATTTCCATTGCAGAAAGAAGCTTATTCTTTCATTGAGTGCAGGATTCAACGAGACTACATTTATTTTAATTCAGCAAATTATTTTTTAGATAATTCATTCAAATAAAAAATCATATTACATTTTTTAAAAAGTAACTAAAATATATATATATATATATATATATATATATATATATATATATATATATATATATATATTTAATACGTTACTTTGCTGGTTACTTAGAAAACTAATATTATTACATAACTCACGTTACTTGTAATACGTTACCCACAACACTGCAAAGAAATATTTGAAAACTCCCTGGTTCAGTAATAACTTTTAATAGTTAAGTTGTATTAGTTATTAGGTATTTGTTAAACTGATCATTCTGTAGTAGTAGGGAGAACCTGCTCATTAGCATTTAAAGGCACATGAGCAAAACATCTCAAATTCCCCCTGACCTCAAAAATGACATTTTCAACAGGGTATTATAAATGATCTGACATGTATTTTGAGCTGAAACTTCACAGACACACTCTTGAGACCTAAAAGGTTTATTTTACATCATGAAAATGGTCATTATTAGAGCAATTTAATTTAAAATACATTTTGATTAGCATGACAGGAATGCTCACCGCTTCATGGTTCTTACGAAAGCGAATGACCTCAGCATCGTCCCGAAAGCGACTCCCCATGGCCAGCTGAGTGACAGCTTTCATAGCTAATCCAAGAAGATGAGCACAGAGAGGCATGTGCTGAGATTTAGGATAGGAGGCCCACTTATCAACCAGCTCCTCAACTTGCTAAAACAAAAGGAGTATTAAAAAGGCATAACATTATTTTTAGATGTTTTGTGGTTTTTATGTTCTGTATATTTTATTGTTTATAATTAGTTTTAGTTTAAAAAGAGTTCATTTAAAAAGTAAATTCTGTCTACATTTACTTAAGTTTTTTTTCTGTTAAACACAAAAGAAGATATTTTGAAGAAAGCTGAAAACCTGCAACAATTGACTTCCATGGTGTTTGTTATTGTTACTATAGATGTCAATGGTAAATGCCTTCCAGCTTTCTTGCAAATATCTAATTTTAGGTTCAGCTGTAAAAAGAAACTCAAAGGTTTAGAAGAACCACTTGAGGGTGAAAAAATGACAGAATTTCCATTTTAAATGAACTTTTTAATGAGTAAAAAGTGAGTAATATTTTGGAGTGTACTATCCCTTTAAGGTCGATATATTTGAGTTAGAAGAATGCTGCTAACAACAAAATCCTATAGAAATGACTTATAATCTTACCTGAAGCAACAGAGGGAAGTTGTTCTCCAGAGTTTTATTGATAGCTCCTTCATACACTTTTTTTCTCATCATGGACTCTGTCAGTCCAACTCCTGAACCGGACTGGTAGCCCAGCAACGACTTAAGCATCGTCTCAAATGAATCCGCTGTGAAGAGAATACAAATGTGTGTTAGATAAAGCATGCATAACCATATGCATTGGAAGTACTATACAATAATTTTTACAACATGTGTGTATATATTTATTTTTAGGGATGCTCTGATCGATCCGCAAGAGATCAGTATCAGCCGATAATCACATTTCATGACTCGATCGGTACTTGCTAATCTGGCCAATCTCATGAACCGATCACAATTGTTTGTTTATGTGTTTACAAGCAGAGGACATATAAGAACTGAAATCTTTTTACATATCAGAACTGAAGTTCTGTGTTTTCAACATTATCGCAAGTTAACCTGGCTGGAAATATTAGGGAAATAAACAAATCCATTAATATTTAATAAATCTAACTTATTGTAATAAACAGTAGTTTGTCGATACATTTTATTTCAGTTAAGAAATAATTTATTTATAGCTGTGCATTTTAACTTCTTATGAAACAAATATGCGCTCCAAACTTCACTGAGACATGTTGAATTCTTCTTCCATCATTTGCAATGTTTCCAAATTGCTTCGTTAGAGATTTTTCTTATCTTTTTTTACATATGTTTTCTCTATTATTTTCTGTAAAGCTGCTTCTGATCATTACATGTCCACACTAAATGGTTATAAGAGATGTGTTTAAGGAGTTATACGTAACATCTTTCATTTCTTCTCTTAGGTAAAGCAAGATCTCCACGTAAGTATCAAACTTGAAGGGAAAATGCGCTTTATGCATTATTAAGCTTGAAACATCAGAATCGGTACTTGATATCAGTCGATCACCACAAAAAGGAATTAGTACTCAGTATCAGCTGCAAAAACCCTGATCGGAGCATCCCTATTTATTTTTTAAATATTAAAAGAAATAGATTCTACTTTCAGTAAATTACACCTGATACATTTCACTTCATAAATCTAGAGTGAAAAAGTTGTATTCTGTAAGAATGAATTATAGAAAAAGTTTATAGGAAACATGTATTTTATCATCATTTATTCACACTCAAGTGGTTCTAAACTTTTATGATTTTCTTTCCTCCATTGAACACAAAACAAGATATTCTGAAGAATGTTGGAAAAAGCAATCATTGACATCTATATTAGATATGAAATTACTATTGAAATTAATGGATGATTTTTCAAAACTTCTTCAGTATTTTCCTTTGTGTTCGACAGAATAAAGAAGCTCAAAAAAGTTTTGGAGAAGAGAAGGGTGAATAAATGATGACAGAATTTTCATTTTTGGGTGAACTATCCTTTTTAAACTATCAAAAGTGACAGTAAGAACATTTAAAGTGTTACAAATTATTTTCATCTAGAAGCCTGTTGTGTGCCATGGTTTTAGTAAAAAATAATAAGCATCACAACTGTTAAACATTGATAATAATAATAAATGCATTCTTGGGACCTAAACAATATATTGGAATAAAAATGATAAGTAATGACTGCGCAAAAGTAATGACAAAATTACATATTAAAGTAAATTATAAAAGAAATGCTTTAAACTGAGTTTTTGTATAAATGTATATTTGATCACTTACAGCTGAAGTCTGAATTATTAGCCCCCTTTGATTTATTTATTTATTTATTTATTTTGATTTTGTAAATATTTCCCAAATGATGTTTAACAGAGCAAGGAAATTTTCAAAGTATGTCTGATAATATTATTTATTCTAGAGAAAGTCTTATTTGTTTTATTTCGGCTAGAATAAAAGCAGTTTTTAATTTTTTAAAACACTATTTTAAGGACAAAATTATTAGCCCTTTTAGGCTATATTTTTAGCTATATTATCTTTTAATCTACAGAATAAACCATCATTATACAATAACTTGCCTAATTAACCTAGTTAAGCCTTTAAATGTCACTTTAATCTGTATAGAAGTGTCTTAAAAAATATCTAGTCAAATATTATTTACTGTCATCATGTCAAAAATAAATCTAAATATGAAAAATGAAGTATTAAAACTATCATGTTTAGAAATGTGTTAGAAAAAATCTTTTCTCCATTAAACAGAAATTGGGGGGAAAATAAACAGGCGGACTGATAATTCAGGGGGGCTAATAATTCAGTCTTCAACTGTAAATGCAGCTTTGGTGGGCATAAGTACCTTCCTTAAACACAAAAAAAACTTACAACAAACCCTAAAATGTTTGAATTAAACAACTAAACTCATCATACACAATTTTATGATCAAATAAATTTCACTCAGAGCCACTTCTCCACAAAACGTTTCCCTCCCTCACTGCGGCTACTCACTGGTCCAGTTAGGGTTGATGTGTTGTCGTAGTTGGTTCACAGCACCCAGGCTCACCACTGGTCTCGCCCCGAACCAGAAAGATGCCACAGACCCAAACTCATCATGAAGACCCACCAGAAACTCATGGAGACTTCCTTTGTTCACGATGTCTTGAAGATTCCCATCTCTGGACAAATGAAAATAGATATTTACTAGATTACCTGACAACAAACTGTGAGCAATAAGACTTTCTTAGTGTATTTACTTCTCTTCTGTTGGGTTTAGTCCAGGTACACCAGAAGCTCGTCTAGATGACTAACATTTAAAATAGAAAATGTACAGTTAAAACATGTATTTTAAAAGATAGCAGTTTGACCTTCAGTACCAGTTCAGACATTAGCTTTCATACAAAACACAGTCATAACAAAACTACACAACAGTTCACATAACAGATAGCATCTCGAGTTTTACCGGATATAAATACAGGACGGCACCAATCAGAATGATGACAAATGTCACAGCAAAAATGGCAAAATCTAGCATTTTTGCTTTTCAGGAAAGTCTAAGGTTTTTCATGAACATATGTAAGTAGTTCAGTGAACTACGAGCTGGCGATCCACGTCTACAATGACCATCAGGAACCTGCGCCCCTCTAGATCGGTACTCGACTACACATCCTGTAAACAAGACTAAAACAATCAACCGCAGATAGAGGGCTGTTTTGAGCTTTTTGTTGTTCCTGATTATAAAAAAATGTTAAGCCATCAGAAAACCTCCATATTCTTAAATAAATATTTTATCACATAGATTAAAGTGTAATTATTCATCCTAATATGCTTTTTATATCTCTTATTATCGATTTGAATTAGCAATTATTACATCTAAATTAATAAATAAACATTACAGATCAAGTTTAATTATATTTTATGCGTTTAACTTTGCATCACAACCTGAATATGCCGCATAAATCTCCAAATAAAAGTGTATCTGTCTGCAGACTGCAAGACAGGGGCGTAAGATGAACGTGTGTAACTTTGGCAAGATGGCAGAAATACTGAGACCAAAGAACATTTTCATCAAATGTTTTTATTAGTTTTCTCCAAATTTATCCACAAGCTATTCATTTGATTTAGTATTATATTCATCACTTTTGACCCAACTCTAAAAGTTTAGTTTTCTTTTAACCACGTGAGTTTGTTTATAAGAGGGCGGGTCTAATTAGACTCATTATGAACGCTTAAATTTGTGACACACAAGAAAAAAAGCACGTACTAAGCTAAAGTAAACCGCAGCAATGTTTGTAATTGCAGCATTAATTGTTAATAGTATGTATTTGATCAATGCTCAGGATCTACAGTTTCCGCGGGAAATGCCTCAGTATCACGACGGTGGCGGTTTGCCGTTCTCGCCGGTTCTGAAGGATAAACAGGAGAAGTTTAACCTCCGACGGGAGAGTTTTTCACCGGAGAGCCCTCTGAGCTCCACTGGCTCTCAGCGCTGTGTGGTGCCGCAGTTTGAGCGCATTGAGTGCGGAGAGCCGGACATCTCTCCGACCGAGTGTGAAGACATCAGCTGCTGCTATGGAGATCAGGGATGTTATTATGGGAAAGCAGGTGAGCTCCTGCAAGATAGCCTACACACACTTTTCTGTTACTCCTGCTTTTCATTCCCTTTTTCATTAATCTCATCTATATATCCTTCCATCCAATATTTATGCTTTTATTTTACATCACAACTTGTAGTCTATTTCTCTAATAGTGCTATTTTATTTGGTTTTTATCATGTTGATAAAACAAAAGATAAATATGTTCTAATAAATCTATTTTACTAGCAATTTTTATACACAAATAGATATAGTCTGTAAAGCCCCTCTCTCTTATTTTTTTGTAAAGATTTGAAATGTTATTTGAATACAGTCTCTACCTCCAGCAATGTTAAAGCTTTAAAATCAATAACACTATGTGAATCTTACAGTGTTGTCTGTTTTCTATAATACCCAGCGGACTGTATTTTATTTGACCTTTTATACATCACTGTGACTTTGCTTTAAGATAGATTCAAAGTGATCTTTGTAACTCATATTGCACCTGGCTGGCTTAATCTTTTGTTTCTCTTGTTGTTTTGTTCTGTTGTCAATTTTTGTTGTTATATGATTTACACATTTTTCTGTATATTTTTGTATTCTTGTTGAACGTTACAATAAAAATAAAAAGTTTACCACAGGAGTTTGTTTATAATTAAGAGGGCTAATTCTATAATAATCCATAGGACCAAATTAAGAGACCACTAATAATAAGCAGATGAAGTATATTTAAAAGTAATTTATTTGTTTTTCTTCTGTAATTTTTTTTTTTTTTAATTTTATAAATATATTATGTATTCTCCCATCAACTCATTATAGTTTACTCCCGAATTCCCACGTTGTCATTTATTTATTCATTCATTTACCCCCTTCTCTTCAATCACTTTAAAGCTCAAAAAAGTTATTTGGAGTATTAATGTGTTGAAAATGACTAGTGAATTAATTTCTTGATCATTTGAACTTTTCATTATTTTGACTAGTTTCGATTTTTCTGGAAATAAATGCTCCAACTGAGAATATTATCATTTATCTGCATATTTAGCATTTTTATTTGAAACTTGCCTGAAATGTTTTTAAGAGTTTGATGAATAAATTAAAATGTTTATATTTTAATTTAACCAGCGTATAAATAATAAATCCAGAGAACGTTCATTTTGTAGTGTTTTCTTCATTTTTCTCATTTTTCTCACATATAGCATAAAAAGGTCCAAAGATAATAGACACTGCCATATTACTGCTATTATTTGTAATTATGAGCATTCATTATTTTACTCCCAATATTTGTAGAATAATTCTCTAATGTTCCCTAGAGGGTTTATTTATTTATTTATTTATTTATTTTATTTATTTTTTTAAGTACAAATGGTACTGTGAAGAAATGTTGTGAAAATAGTATGCAATGCATAAAAACGTTTTTTATTTAGATGATGGCAGTGCCTGATTTTCAGCAGACCTTAAGTCTTGAGTGGAATGTGATATTTCAGAAGTCATATAATCAAAATAAATCATTCATTTTGGTGATCAAGACATTTTATTATAAATTTTTAAAAATGGAAAACGTGAAAAGTTTGGCTTAAGGTAAAAAAAAAAGGTAATATCCCATATTTTAATCTTCTTTTAGCAATCCTAGGTCTATATGCCTTTCATTTTTCAGGCAAACGCAATCAGTTTTACTTTTAATATTGTGACTCTTTCCAGATTTATAATGCTAGTCAATGATGCCCCAGTTTTCAAAGCTCCAGAAAGCACATTCATCCATCATAAATGTAATTAATATAACTCCACTGGGTTAATCAAGGCCTTGTTTTTGTAATAAAAATTGACATATCTAAAATTTTAATTAGTATATATTTTATAAATCCGCAACAGATTGTGTGTTGCTGTTAATCTATCACTGTATTTCTAAAACAAATAAATGCATAGAAAAATAGAATAGAAAGTACTTATATTATTGGATGAAAATATGCATCTAAGCCTTTTCTACTCTCATCGAGATAGTCAAGACATCCCGAAGGTAATTTTGTGCCTCTTTATGATGTCTCCACATAATGTAGTTCACTTTTATAGTTGCAAGTTTCTGGAAGACAAAAATAGCTGGTGATCACTTCTAATTTCACTACAAGGTCTAGTTGCTGTACATTTAAAGTGCATTTTCTCCCGTTTGTCTCAGTTACTCTGCAGTGCACAAGGGATGGGCAGTTTGTATTGGTGGTTGCTCGAGACGCCACCATGCCAGGCATCAGTTTAGAGTCCATCCACATGCTGGAAGATGACCCTGCTCACTGCGCTCCTGTCGGCAGCACTGGCAGCTTCGCCATCTATCAGTTTGCTGTGAGCACCTGCGGCACCACGATGAAGGTGGGAGACAGTTTTATTAGTCAATTATTAGTTGCATCATTGTTTTCTGGTCTGTTAATTGCTCTTCTTTTTTTCCTTCAGGAAGAAAGAGGATTTGTTATTTATGAGAACAAGATGTCCTCTGTGTATGAAGTGGGTCTGGAACCTCACGGATCAATTATGAGAGATGTTTATGAGTGAGTTCAGGCTGCACGATGCTGGGAAAATATGTGATTTTGTTGAGTATTGTGATATTTCTTGCGATTTATCATTTCCCTGTCCTTTTGATGGTCCTTTTTTGTCCCTTTTGTTTCTTTGAAAAAAAAAATTAATTAATGCAATGGTCATACTTCAATAAACAAGTAACTGTTTCTAATTAAAGGGATTGTTCAACCAAACTTTTAATTTATTAACACTCAAGTAGTTGTAGTTCTAAACATGTTTGAATTTCTTTAAAACAAGACAAACTAAAGAATGTTGGGAAAAAGCAGCCATTGCCGTTAAAACAAAATGCTGGGTTCCACACAATTCCTTTAAGTTGTCCTAACACAAATCAATTAATTTACCCTAATCGATTTTACTAATTTAAGTGGATTGAACCTAAAAGAGTTAACTTGTCCCAAAAAGAATCGTTTTGTTTCAACTCATTTTGAATAAGTAGTTTGAACAAGGAGCAACAATATTTTTAAGTGTAGTAGATCACTAAAAATACTGCAATGGCTGTATTTTTCAACACTCTTCAGTATATCATTTTTAGTTCAACAGTTTTGGAGTAAGCTGAGGATGAATAAATGATGACAGAATTATACTTTTGGGGGGAACTGTCCCTTTAAATCTAATTGAGGCTTTAAGGAAATAATGCCAAGTGCAAACATTTAGACCTTAAAACATTGAGTGATTGTAAACTTGTCGGGCATTTGGCATTTCTGTGTTGAGTGTGCATATGTTCTCCCATGTGTTGGTGTGGGTATCCTCCGGGTGCTCCAGTTTCCCTCACAATCCAAAGACATGCGCTATAGAGGAATTAGGTAAGCTTTATTTGCCTTAGCGTGTGAATGAGTGTGTATGGATGTTTCCCAGTGATGGGTTGCAGCTGGAAGGGCATCTGCTGTGTAAAACATATGCTGGATAAGTTGGCGGTTCATTCCGCTTTGGCGCGACCCCTGATGAATAAAGGGACTAAGATCATGAATGAATGAATGAAAACCTGTCATATTTTTAACCGTTGTCATTTTTCTTGGGTCTCTCTATCTCCACCATTATTATTTTACTTTTAATTCAGCTCAGAGGACCTCCATAGGTTCCTTTTGGCTTCTCTGCATCTAGCATCTAAATTTAAAGGCTTAGTTCACCCAATGATATTTCTGTTGTCCATTTCTCACCCTCATGTTGTTCCAATCTCCTGAGACCTTCGTTTATCTTTGGAAAACTAAGATATTTTCGATTAAAGCAACTTGTATTAAAGCTCTTTCATCTTGAATTCCAAAAGAAACCAAAAGCATTGTCAAAACGTTTCATGTGACTTCAGTGGTTCAACTGTAGGCATACGAAGCTCCAGGAACAGTTTTGTGCACCAAAAAAAAAACACCTTTAAAAACAACTTTGTTTACCAATGTCCTTCACATCAGCTCAGGATATTAATTTAATATTGTCAGTACAATGTATTGCCATTTAGAATCAACAGTACAACATGAAAACCATTAAAATTATTACACTTCTCTGCAATATGGATATTGGATATTGCATTTATATATCTTAGTAACAATCGTTTTTTATAATGAGTCATGTTCACTTTGCGTTCATCTTGGTGGCCTGTTTTTGTGTTCGGGGTTTATTAAAAGAGGCCACATTACCTCCTGTGTTTGTGTTGAAGGCTGAAGTTCCAGTGCAGGTTTTCAGCGACAGCAGTTGAAGCTGTGGTGATTGAGATGAAGACTCCTCCTTCTTCTCCTCCTCCTCCTGCTCCTCATGTGTCTCAGCAGGGTTCACTCCAAATGGAGCTCCGGCTCGCTCATGGACTGTGCACATCTAAAGGATGCCCTGATGGTAAGCACAACCTCAAGATGTAACAGGTGATCATGGATTTGTATGAAGCCCACATGATTAATTTTAATTGAATTTTTTTTTTTTGCATCGTAATGAAAATTGCAAGCAGTTGAAAACCATGTACAGGCAACATATTAGCCATCCTGAGAAATTACATTTGTAAAATTTTAATTCAAATTTCCCATGTGATTTTTTAAAAAAAAAATGTTTATTTATTTATTTTTATCATAATTGTTTTTATATAATATAGAGCGGCGAGGTAGTGGCGCAGTAGGTAGTGCTGTCGCCTCACAGCAAGAAGGTCGCTGGGTCGCTGGTTCGAACCTCGGCTCAGATGGCGTTTCTGTGAGGAGTTTGCATGTTCTCCCTGCGTTCGCGTAGGTTTCCTCCGGGTGCTCCAGTTTCCCCCACAGTCCAAAGACATGCGTTACAGGTGAATTGGGTAGGCTAAATTGTCCGTAGTGTATGAGTGTGAATGTGTTTATGTATGTTTCCCAGAGATGGGTTGCGGTTGGAAGGGCATCCGCTGCGTAAAAACCTGCTGGATAAGTTGGCGGTTCATTCCGCTGTGGCGTCCCCGGATTAATAAAGGGACTAAGCCGACAAGAAAATGAATGAATAATATAGAGCAAGGGAACTTTTTAGTCTTTCCTATTAACATTTTCTTCTGTAGAAAGACTTTATTTTAGTTTGGCTGGAACAAATCAATATTAACATATTAAAAAGGCCAATATTATTAGCACCTTTTGCTTTTTTTGTTACAAAACAAACTGTTATTTTCCAATGGCTTGCCTAATAAATGGGTTATTAGGCAAGCCATTGGAAAATAGCAGTTTGTTTTGCCCAATTAACATAGTTTAAGGGAAAGTTTACAGAAGAATTTAAAACGTCATAATTTACTCACCCTTTACTTGAACCAAATAAATTTTATTAAGAGTTTTTTTTTCTGTTGAAAACAAAAAAAGATATTTTTAAGAATGTTGACCATCCATAGTGGGCCGCCAGTAGACCACCATTAACCATTCATAGTAGGAAAAGCAGGGGTGAAGCAGTGGCGCAGTAGGTAGTTTTGTCGCCTCAATGCAAGACTGTCCCTGGTTTGAACCTCTGCTCACTTGGTGTTTCTGTGTAGAGTTTGAATCAAAAATCATACAGACAAAACCATTAATACCTGTGGGACCTGATGATACATTAATGATGATGTCTTATTAATCAAAATCATGTGTTTGTGTGCAAGAAAACAATATTTTTTTTTATCATTTCTTTTTAGAATTCTTTCCTTTACAAAAAAGTGTGTAATACCAGCATTTATTAAACATTTCCAAACCGTAAAACTACACTGAATTTGATTTTCATTCAGTGCCAGGTGTGTATTAAAGGCATTACAGTGAGCTGCGGTTAATTAAGTAACTGCTTTCAAATGCATTTCAGAGGACATGTACACTTCATACTACTCTGACACGGACTACCCTGTTACTAAAACACTGAGAGAGCCTGTGTATGCGGAAGTGCGCATGCTGAACACGACTGACCCCAGTATCACTCTGCACCTGGAGCACTGCTGGACCACATCTAATCCTGAAGCTCTGACCCAGCCACAGTGGGACCTCCTGGAGAACGGGTAAACGTGTTGTCTTCTTCTTTCACTAAATTTCTTAATTCCCTGAGAATGATAAACGGATCAATCACTGCTTCATGGTTTCAGTTCCTCTTTCTCTGTTTCCCTATAGCTGTCCACATAATGATCACCATGAGCGGACCACCATGCTTTCTGTGGCCTCTTCAGGGCTGCAGTTTCCATCTCATTACAGGCGTTTCATTGTAAATGTGTTCCCGGCTGTAGATCAGTCATCTCTGCCGCTACGGGTATGAAGTTATTCATCCTCCTCGTGTTCTCCTTAGGATTCAATTCCTTTATTGTATATGTTTTGTACATGTTTATATGTATTGTCCTTTTGTAAATCTTGAACAGATCTTCATTCACTGCATTACATCTGTTTGCCAACCATCTGAAACGGAGTCATGTGAGCCCATCTGTGACCACACGACAAGTGAGTGTGAGACTGTGCTCCATAATAATATTAATAATAATAATAATAGAAATAATATTAATAATCAGTATTACAAGTATTATTATTTGTGTGTGTTTATTATATAAAAAAACAAATATTAAAATTAATTATCACACTTTACAATAAGGTTTCAGTAGTTATGTGTTTTCTAACATGAACTAATGTTTCTTTGTGTTAGTCAATGCATTAATATTAACTATATTATATATTATATATTAATATTATATAACTATAATATTAACTAAGTTAGACTGTTTTACTATGTAAAGTTTAACTAAAACAATTGTAGATGACATTTTACATGAATCTATATTTAAATAAAATAACCAAAAATCTGTAGTGGTCGTAATAGTGGTGGTGGTGGTATGTCTGTGTGTACAGTTTGTTTACAAATTAAAATAGATTGTTATAAATCTGTGTAGGATTTAAATACTATTAAGAAAATTTTCATTTTGCATATAATTTTACATTTTTAAAATAAATATTTGAACAAATATAATCAGTAAAGCTAACCATGTCATAAATACAAGATTATTCATTAAAGTTATTAAATACCTATTTTAGAAAAAATACATGGACATTTTCAAATAAATATTAAAATAATTGTAAATTACATTTTACGATAAATATAAATATTTTATCAAATATTTAAATAAAAAAAAACTTTAAATACAAATCTCTCGTCTATGAATTTTACATTTAAATTTTTTTTTTGTATTAAATAAAATATATTCGTTAAACTAACAATATTAGCTTATAGAGCAATATAGATCTTGTTTTTGCAACTTCCGATTCAGTTGCCTTTGGGAGAAATGTCTAGAAATAATAAACGCCAGAAAACGGTCAAACTACTAGCTGTACAAGTGTTTGCATGACTATACAGACAAAGTAGAATAAGATAATCCTTCAAGCTGTTTTTAACATATAAAAATGAATGTAAGTGAATATGATCGGAAGTCTCGGGCCCAAAATATTCAAATGGCTGCAGCCGCTCGTCTGCGCAGAAAGGAGAATAAGGTGAATAAACTGTGTATGTCTGTGTGTATATATGTAATGCTTTTTATAAAAAAATGCATGGATGTTTTAATTGAAATAAATACAATAATTGTAAATGACATTTAACATTAATTAAACCTATATATTTTAATTAATAAATATTTATATTAGATTTTAAATGAAATACTATAAGTGTGTACATTGTGTGTGATTTTATAAAATTCAAAAAAGGGTTGTTACAAATCTCTTGTACACAATTTTGCATTTATTAAAAAA